ACCTGTACCATAACCTTTAACCATAAACCCAAATTGCCAAACCTAAACCTAAACTCTAAACCCTATTTCCTAAAACATTAGCCATAAACCCTAAATAGTAAATCTAAAGCCCTAAACAATGAAGAAAAAATCTAAAGCCAAAAATTTCAACCTTAAACTCTAATCCCCAAACCCTAAACCCAAAATTGTAAAAACTATAAATTAAAAACCTAAAATAATAATCCTTAAATTTTAAACCTTAAGTATAATAGTCAAAACCCTAAACCTCAAACTTGAAACCCTAGCCATTAAACATAAATCCTATACTGAAAACATAAACCCTAAAGACTAAACTTGAAACCCTAAACTTTAAAATTTAAACTAAAAAACCTAAACCCTAAGTTTTAACCTTTACCTTTTACTCTAAACCCTAAAACCTAAACTCTAAAACCTAAACGATAAACCCTAAATAGTAATCCCTAATCCATATATTTTAAAAGTCTAAACCATAAAACCTATACCCTAATCCCAAAACCTTAAACCCTTAACACTAAAATAGGTACCCTAATCCATAACCCATAAAACTTATAACCCAAACTCGAATCAAATTTACATAAAAATGAGTTTGTCGCTTACGCTCTTGTGCTCTCTAGCAATTTAGAGGAGATCAATGGTTTCATCTCCCGATCTCCTCTCTCACCACTCCTGGCATCATTTCTTTGGTTTTTCCTCTTTGATTTTCTCCTCTATGATTTTCTTTGTTGGTTTTTCTCTTTGTTTTAAATTTTTTTTTTGGTTTCATGACTTCGGGTGATGATGACTCTACCGAAATCTATCCCTTTGACAGCTTTGATTCTGAATGGCAAGTCTCAATCTTTTAAGGAAATGTTGTCCGATTCTTCTTCTTCTTATGTTAAGCTTCACTTTATTTAAACCTCTTCTAAATGATTTCTAGTTTTTTGATGTTTGATGATTCTGTCATGGCGCAGCTGGCTGCTCCTTTTGCTCTTACTTTGGTTGGCAAGTTTCCTTGTCAGGCATCCTAATTTGGATGTCATTAATATGTTTTTCTTTAATGTAAAATTATCAAGATCTTTTCATTTTAGATTGCTGGATATGAGACATATTTTGATTCAACTTAGTAATGATCTAGACTACATGTGCATTTTTTTAAGGATATCATTCTATATCCAAGCTTGTCAAATGAGATTACTCCAATTAGAGATTCATTCATATAGAGTAAGAGAGAGAAACTCATAAAAAGTTCAAGGAATTCATTTCTGTTTACCAGGAATAGGTGGGGATGATGGCGGCAGAGTGCCGCCGGCAAGCACAGGCCCCGGCGACAACGTCATCGTCCTTTATAATTCAAAGTTATATTTTAAAGGTAATGGTTAGCTATTTTTGAAATCTGAGCAGAGTTCTGAGAACCAGTTATTAAAACTACAAGGTCCCTTGGTGATCAATGATGTCTTTGATGTAGTGCCCAAGATGAACAAGCATGTGAGAGAAAAGCTAAAGCAATTGTTGAATTTGTGGTTAATGTTACTACTAAAATTGAGAAAATTTTCTCTTCCTTAAACTCGATTTATCCAGCTGCGTTGTCATCAAGAATGAAAATTTTGGTTAACAGATTTGGGAATTCAAATGCAATCCCTGGACATATTGTGATTAATGCGAATTCACCAAATTTGGTTAATAATAATATTCAATATTTGGTGAGAGAGTGTAATGCATCGAGTGTGGCTAAGGTGACTTATGAAATGTTGAATACTACGGTTAGTATGGGTAATATTAATCCTTGGAGTAGCAAGCCTTATATCAAACTTGATTTGAATGAAGAAGAAGTGTTTTTGTTAGAAGATGGTAAGGCTATGAGGTTGAATGAGGAATTGGAAATTTTGAATTCAAAGAAGCAATTGAATTCATTGGTAATAAAGGTGTTTGGAAAAGAATTGCCATCCCATTTGCTAGCTTCGGAAATAAGGAGCCAATGAAGTCATTCTGGGTAATTTCACCTTACCTCTCTGGGAAGGGGATGGTTCTTATGTTCATTTAATTCAAAAGAGATGGAGGAAGCACTTCTTTTAGGCAGTCCATGGTTTGTTAATGGGCATATAGTAGGGATGGAGAGATGGACTGCTGAGTTTTCTTCTTTATCCATGAAGGGGCTAACCTCTCCAATTTGGTTTAGATGACACATTTTCCATTGCAATATTAGGATGATGCAAATGTGGCAAGAATTGGTTCAAGGATTGGTAAACCATTAATGATGGATGGGAATATGTTCCAATGGGGGAGGAGGGAATTTGCAAGAGTATGTGTACGGGTGAAGCTCGATCAACCTCTTCCGTTGGGGGTATGGGTGGATAGCATTTCAGGAAGGTTTTTCCAAAGTGTGGAGTATGAAAGGTATCTAACTTTTGTTATGAGTGTGGGATGATCGGGCATGTGAAGAGTGATTTTGTCCAAAGAGAACCTATTCCCAAGGAGGTGAAGGTTGCTATTTATAAGAGTAATAATGGAGTTGAAGTGGGAAGTAGGCATGAGGTGGTGAAAGATCCTTCATATGGGCAGTGGATTCTTGTCAACCATAAGAAAGGGAAAGAGAAAATCAAAGAAGCAATGTTGTGAAGTCAAGTAATTTGAGATATATAAAGAAGATTGCAAAACCTCTCTTGGCTATCCAGGAGGACTGGACTGAACTAGTTTCTAGAATCAGGGAGGTTTCTTCTCATCATAATCAAGAGGTTTTGAATGCTGATGCTGAAAATTTAGAAGGTGAATGCATATTGGAAGGTGATCGGTACATGGAGAAGGAGAATGGAGCTTTCTGGTGAGGAAAAGGAAGGGCCTCTTAACAAATGTGAAAACAATTATGTTGGAGAATTTGGAATGATCACTAAACCTAATTTTTCTTGTATATCAAATTCAGTTAATAAATTTGATATTTTGAATATGGTTAATGGTGATATGATGAAGGAAGATGTGATAGAAGAGGAGATTGGTATGGCTGGATATGAAGGAGGTATTGTTGGAAAGACAATGGAGATGAGTTGTGTAGAGGGTTATGACAGGAATAGATTAGGAAGTGGTTTGGCTAGGTATGGTGGTGCTGTTGGGGAGGTGAATAAGGTGAAGCTTGCAAAAGAGCTAAGGTTGCTTGGGCCAATCAAGAATATATTACCCGTTGTGGGAATTTGGATGGTGGTGGGAGGAAAAGGAGGGAAGGGGCCTCATCCCCTAGATTGAATTAATGAATTCCTTAGCCTTTTGGAATTGTATAGGGGCCAAGAAAAAAGAGGCCTCTTTATATCTTAGGGATTTTATTAAATATCATGGTATTCTGTTTGTGGGGTTGGTGGAAACTAAGATCAATACTTTTGACAAAGTTTCCTTTGAGAAAGTTATGGGGCCTGATTGGGATTTCTTTCTTCTACCGTCAAATGGTTTATATGGAGGTATTATGGTATTGTGGAGATCAGATTTGGCCTCTTCTTTAGTACTAAAGAAGTCAGAATTGTGTGTCATTGGGGACCTTAATATTTTTAATAAAGGGGTGTGGATGATTGCTACTATCTATGGGAGTAAGGAGGTTGTGAGGAGGAGAGGGTTATGGGGTAGTATAAAAGAAGTGGCTAATAAAAAGGCCCCTTTGATCATTGGGGGGGGGGGGGGGGTTTTCAACTGTATATTCTCTCAAGAGGACAAGAGAGGTGGAAGGAAGATTGTGTTCTCACAAGGTCCTAAGGAGATGGTTGATTTTATAAATGGGAATGAATTGCATGAAGTGGGGTTTGTTGGACCAAGGTTCACTTGATGTAACAATAAATGGGAGGAGGCCAAATTCTTGAGAGGTTGGACAAGTGTTTTCTCAATTCCTTGGGTATCAATTGTATTCAGGTAGCAATGATGAGACACTTAGCTAGAGTAGCTTCAGACCATTATCCAATAGTGCTGAAATTTTTTGAGTCATCTAGAAGAAGAAGAGGGATTCTAAAGTTTGAAGATGTTTGGATATCATATAAAGCTTCGGCACATATTATAGCTAAAGTATGGAGTAAATAATTTGAAGGAGATGATATGGAAATCCTTAATAAAAAATGTAAGAAAGCTTTGAAGGATTTAAATTATTGGGGAAAGGCTAAAGTAAAGAATTTCTCTAAGGAGAAGGAGAAACTGAAAGAGGAAATATTTTAGATTCAAGAAGAAGAATATAGTATGGGTTGGTTAATTGAAGAGAAGCTTTGGGTTTTGAGATCAAAAGTCAAGGAGCATAATGTGATTCTTGCCCGGTTGAATACTTGGTGGAAGCAAAGAGCAAAGGCGAAGTAGATTGAGGATGGGGACGCTAATACTAAATTTTTTTATTATTTTGCAAATATTATGAGAAGTGGGAAATGGATTTCTTAAGTTAGAAATTCAAATGGAGATCTCACCGAGAAGCTTTAGGAGTTGCAGGTTGTATTCTTCAATTTCTTCCAGGATAAGTGGAAAGAAAGGTGTTGCTGTGTGGATAACTGGACGGTCTTGATAGCATTTTTGGATGATGCAGATAGAAGAGGTTTGAATGTAGACATTTTGGATTTGGAGATATTGGAGGTAATCAAAGGGCTAGGTAGTAACAAAGCCCCTAGTTATGATGGCATAACGTATTCTTTTTTCAAAACTTATTGGAGTATTAAAGTGAATAATGTGTGCAAAATAGTAAGAAGACTCTTTGTTACTAGTAAAATGCGCAGGGAATGGAAGGACGCACTTGTTGTTCTTATTCCTAAAATAAGTAACCCGGTCTCTCCTACTAGTTTTCATCCTATAATCTTGTGTAACTCTATTGATAAAATTGTGGCTAAGGTTTTGTTGAGCATGCTATTTTGGGTTATTCCCAATGTTATCTCAGAAGTGCAGGTTTCTTTTGTTAAAGGGAGGAGTATATCAAATCATTTATTGCTGGCTCAGAAGTTGTTAAATAAGATCAGGATTTATAAATAAGGTGTAGGTATGGTAGCTATCAAATTGGCATGGAGCAAGCCTATGACAACATGTGTTGGAAGACTCTTTATGAGATGATGAGCAGAATGGGCTTTCTAGAGAAGTTCATGAATTTGGTGATGGAATGCATTATGGAGCCAAGGTTTTCTGTCATAATTGATGGAGGACTCTCCAAATGGATTATGGGGAAGAGTGGTTTCCATCAAGGTTGTCCACTCTCACCCTTTCTTTTTATCATGTGTTCCCAATTGCTCTCTAATGTCTTTTTCCATGAAGGCAAGGACTTAGGCATCAAGATTGCTCTAAGGGTTCAAAAGGTATCACATTTGCTATGTGCAGATGATGTCCTTTTACTTTCTGATGCAAAGTTGAAGAGTATTAAGAAGGTGAAGAGCATTTTAAGTGATTATTGTGGCTGGACGGGAGAGAGGTTGAATCATAAAAAATTTGCTATGATCATTGGTAAGACAGTTGAGAGAAGAAGGATGAAGAAGATTGCAAGGATCATGGGGATTAAGGTGGTAGAAGAATTGGATTATTATGGAACCAAGATGGCTGTAAGGAGATTGAGGAAAGCAGATTTTCAAATTCTATTGGACAAGTCTTTGAAGTTATTAAATGCTTGGGGGAATAGATATATTTCCCTAGTTGGGAAACTAGTTTCGGCAAAAACTATTTTTTGTAATCTTCCCTTATTCTTAATGTCTCATTCCCTTATTCCATTAAGCATATTGAAGGAATTTGAGAAGCATTATAGGAATTTTATTTGGAATAACCCAGATGGAACACATGGGTTAAATTATTTGGCTTGGGAAGAGCTGTGCAAACCGAGAGCATTGGGTGGATGGGGGCTACCTTCAGCTGTGTCCAGCATGGAACCAATGAGGGCTAAGTTTGCCTGGAATCTGGTGGAAAGATCGAATTAATTCTTAAATAGAATTCTATTGGCCATATACGATGAAGATTAGTGGAGGAAATAAGCATTAAAGGGCGGTTCTTTGGCATGGAGAATCATAGCTAGTGGCTGGAAGGCTCTTAGAAGTCTTGTTAGATGGAATGTGGTGAGGGGTACAAATATAAACATATTGAAGGATGTGTGGATATTGGATAAAAGTCTACTCAGATGGCCCACTTATGTTGCTGACTTTGAGGATGATAATACTATACTTGACTTCTTTATTCAAGATGGCAGATGGAATATACATAAGTTACTTCTCTTTTTGGGAAGGACCTAGTGGTTTTGATTAGCAATATTCAGATTTGCCAATGAGAAGATGTCAACTTCATGGAGCTGAAAAAGATACTGTCGAGGAAGTCTGTTTCGGCTATGATAAGGGAAGTGAATGCAAATGAGGTTGCAGATGTGGATCCTTACTCATGGATTCACAAGATGAACTTGAATGCTCGGGTGGAGTTGTTCATATGTAGATTGTGCAAAGTTGCAATTCCAACAACAGATTTTTTGATGAAAAGGAAGTTGACTATTAGTAATTTGTGTCCAAGAGGTTATGGGGAGGTTGAGAATGTAGATCATGTGACCACTAATAGTTCAAAATTGTTAAAGGTAATTGGTAAACTGAGAAAATGGGGATTTCTTATTCCTTTATTCAAATCTTTTCAGCATTGTATGGAGGAGCTGAAATCTTTGTCTGAAACGAATTCAATGATGGTGAAGATGTATTGCTCTTTGTTATGGTACTCTTGGAGCAATAGGAATAAGTCTAAACATGGGAAGATTGAAGATAGTGAATCAGTTATTGTTGCAAGCATGATCAGCTTTGTTAGTTTGGATAAACGGAGCAAGGTTCTCTTGGATTACTGGGATGCTGGCCAGTCCTATGGACTTTTCTTAGATTTCTAGCATCCCCCTCCACCCGAGTGGTACAAAATAAATATAGATGCTTCGCTGAAGAATAACTATGGAGCAGGTATTCTATGCATTGTAAGGGACTACAAAGGAAGGTTTATCTGTGCATTTGGATTTTATGTTGTTCATTGAGACTTAGCACAAGTAGAGCTATTTACATTCAGTTCTTTAAAGGAAGTTTTGATTAATTGTCTATACAATGCTAAAGGTGTTATGACAATAAAAATGTGATCCAATTTCTTCGAAACATGTACAACAAAGAGAAGAAATTAGGTGGGTGCATTGAAGATGATGATCTTTTTGGCTCGGGTTAATGGAATAGTGTTATTTTTCAATTTGTTGGTAGGAATTGTAATAGGTTAGCAGATTATTGTGCTAACTTAGCCTTTCATATGATTTCATTTGGGACTTATTTTGTGAGAGTACACTTCCTTCTTCCTTTGTTAAACTTGTAAATGAGGAATGTGATTTGGCGGTTCACTCTCAATAGCTTGTATCTAGGCTCTTTGGTTTGGTTTATTTAATGCATATTGCATTTCTTTTAAAAAAATGAGATTACTCAAATGAGAATTGAAATTTGGTGTCTTTCAGGAATCTCCTATTGGCCCTGAGTGGATCTCCTTCCTAAATCTAAGACTTCATTTTTTTTTAACTCCCATATTTTTTTTGGCTTGGCTGCAATTTTTGGTAGGCCCTTACAAACATATAAAGCTATGGAATGTATCTCTCGTTCCTCTGTGGCCAATGTTTTTTGTTGAGGTGGATATCTCTAAGAAACATCCTAATGATATTTAAATTGGTTCGGAATTGAATGGTTATTTCTAAAAAGTTAAATATGAAAATCTTCCCATTTTCCCCCTATTATAAGATGAATGGTCATGAGTTAAATGAGTGTTACATGTTACATCCCCATCTTCGAAAGGAGAAGGAATCCTCCAAACAATGATCTGGAAATGATTTTCCTTTAGTTAATAATAATATTGTTTTTTCCTAATCCGGATGTTATTGAGGGCAATGTTCCTAAAGTGCAGGATAACATTGAGGATTCCATATAACTTCTTATAGCTAATAATGAACTGTATTCCACTTATTTTGTTGAACCTCTTCTTGGTCAGAGAGAAAATCTGAACTCTATCTCTTATTTAGTTTATGTCTCTCAAAATGTGAATGAACAAATGTTGGCTATCACTACTAATCTAATTATTGTTTCGTCTTCTACTATTACTCCTTGTGCTCTTAACAAAAACTTGTCTGATTTTGATTTTGTGTTGTTATATAATAGTTATACTAATAATGTGCCTTCTCAATCTTTTGTGTATGACTAAAAGGATGGACATATCAGTTTGGTAGAGGGTAATATTGGATGTGAATTGAGTAATAAAATTTATGAGGAAGATGGCACTATATTTGAGGAGGGTGAACTTCCTCAAGAAGTGAGGCAGGAAGGTAAGATCATTGATAATAAGCTTCCCTTAAATGCTCAATATTACAGTGATGCCTTTACTGATACGGAGGATATGGATATTAGGGCTAAATGTTTTTATAAATAAGATAATGACACTAGTTACATCAAGTTTCAAAGAAGGAGAGGGAGGAAAAAACTAGAACATCATTTTGCAATCTCCTATAACCACCCGATTGCATACTAGTCATTAGCCCCCTTATGTCTAATTATATTATTTGGAATGTAAGGGGCATTGGGTGTCCCTCTTCTAAGTTAAGAGTTAAGAATTTATGCCACATTTACGATGTTTCTATTATTATTTTACTTGAACCTCTTATTTCCTCTGCTAAATTACTTGGTATAGCTAGATTTTTGGGTTTTAAATATGCTATTTTGAATGAGGCCAATAAGAATTGGGTGCTATGGAAGGATCCAGTTTGTATAGATGTTATTGGAGATTTCACTCAAGTTATGCATTGTAATATTGAGGTTTTAAATTTACATTATTCTTCCTCTTTTATTTATGTGGCTTCTTCTCAATATACTAGGAAATTATTATGGGAGCAACTCATAAACTTTCATAGTATTTGTAACTTGCCTTGGCTTATTAGAGGGGATTTTAATACTATCTCTAATCCTTCAGAACATTTAGGGGGCAGTTTACCTATCTATCAATCAATAGAGGATTTTAATGACATGATTATGGAATGTAATTTAATTGATATTGGCTTCTCTAGTTGTAAATTTACTTGGAACTGTGGTCATTTGTGGTGAAGGTTGAATCGGGTTTTATTTAATGATTACTGGCTTAACTCTTTAAAATCTATTGTTGTTGAGCATCTTAGTAGGACTCCTTCTAATCATTCTCTTTTGTTAATTACTCTTATGATTAGGCATATTAATTATCCTTCTAAATGTAGATTTCAAAACACATGGTTGCTTCATTACACTTTTCTAGACTTGGTTTAGGAAAATTGACATGCCCCTTTACGTCCAAATAACTCTATATTTTGCATGAGGAGTCTTTGGCTTTAACTGAAAAGGCTTAAGAAAGTTTTAAACTTGTTGAATCATAATATGTTTAAAAATCTTTTCTCTAATATCTTGAATGCCGAAGAGAAAGTAAACACTTTTGAGACTCAATGTCAATTGACTCCTTTTAATGATAACTTCAGTTTACTAAGGGATGCTAAAGATAGTCTTTATAAATTTCAAGCTCAGGATGAAGACTTTTGGAAATAAAAAGTGGTTGTAAAACACCTTATTAAATGTGATAGTAATACTAAATATTTCTATGCCTTTGTTAAGAGGAAACATGCTAAAGATTGTATTAATAAAATTAATCATGATGATGGCTCTGTTACTGAGAATGGCTTGGAGATTACTAATTTAGCAGTTCAACATTTTCAAAAGCGTCTAAATAAAGATTTTATTCCTAATCATATTGATAACCCTCCTATTATCCCTAGCCTTATTTCTTAAGAGGATAATGAATTTATTTCTAAACCTCCAACTTTAAAGGAAGTTAAAGAGTTGTTCAAGGCATGAATGGTGACTCAGTGGTAGGATGGATGGCTTCACCACTAAGTTTTTTTAGAAATTCTAGCATATTATTAGTAATGATCTTTATTATGTTGTTAATAATTTTTTACAGGTAATTATATTCTTAAGTTTTATACTTTTACTTCTATTGTGCTTATTCTAAAAAGCAACTATGATAGTAACTAGAATTACTTTAGACTTATTAATCTGTGCACCTTCTTTAATAAATTGATTTCTAAAATTCTTATTAATCGTTTAACTTCTTTTTTGCCTAAAATTATCTTGCCATATAAAATGTGTTTTATTAAAGGTTGGGGTATTGCATATAGTATTCTTTTTCCCTAAGAGCTTCACCAAGATCTCAATGTTAGGCTGAGAGGTGACAACATGATTTTATAATTTTATATTATCAAGGCTTATGATAACATTGATTGGAACTTTCTTTAAAATTTTAATAGTTTGCTTTGTTTTTATTTGAATGTTACCAATCTTATGAAAAATTGTATTGAGGGTTCTCATTTTTCTATCATTGTTAATGTTAAAAGTAATGGTTTTTTTAAATCCTATCATTGTCTTAGATAGGGTAATCCGATATCCCTGCATATTTCATTATTATTGTTGATTATTTATCTAGAGGCCTTGTTAACAACTTCAAAAATTCCCCTAGCCTCTATTTTAGAACTTTGGGTTGTTTTCTTATCTCTCATTTATGTTTTTCGTATGACTTCATCATTTTTATGAATGCTTATACTAATAGGATAAATAAGCTTATGGTTTTTTTTTTCATCAATTTAAAATGGTTAGTGTTCTGGCTCTGAACTGACATAAGTGTTGCTTTATTCCCTCTAAGAAATAGCTTAATGAATGTATTTTGGCTATTAAATATTTAACTAGTTTTGTGCATGTCCATTTGCCTATTAAATACCTTGGGGTGCCTCTTTTTAAAGGTAAAAAAAAAATGGCTTTTCTTTTTGATTATTTAATTACTATTTTGCAGAACAAACTTATGTCTTGGGATTCTAATTTTTTGAGTTTTCAGGGTAGGTTAATTCTCATCAGAAGTGTTCTTTATT